TTTTTTCATGTTGCATAGCATGCTGAATTTACATTTTTATTGTTTCACATAATTCACACAGATCAGATTTTGGAGATATAAATTAAAGTGATTATATTAAAGCCTTCTAGATTCTAATAAAAGTAGTTTTAGACATAATATGAGTATTATTTCTATGCTTATCTTTATAAGCCTATACATAATTGTGATATACTGAAGTATAGGTGTAGCCAGTTGGAAGAAACACAATAGGCATAGTGATTTCATTAAAACATCATCTGGATGAAGATATACTATGTATGTTAAAATAATTTTTTAAAAATTTAAATATATCACACACTATATCATAATTTACTTCAATGCAATTCATATTTTTTAGAACTTTGTCAGTGTTACTATGTATATGTTTTTCAAGGCCATGTTTACGAAAATGCTGAGCTATATTCTCTAGATATTTATGACTAACTCCAACAAGAGCTAGATAAGTATCATAACAAATTAAAATATCATTATTATAACAATAATTATAACACCAACGCTGTCTACTATTACTAGTTACTTTTTTTGTATTTTCTTCTTTTTGAAAGCTAATAATTGTTCTTTAATAACCATATCTCGCATTTTTTTATTTAGACTTTCAAATTCAGTTCAATGTTTAAGAAACCAATCATAGCCAATTTTTTCAAAACAGCATTGCTTAGTAGAATAACATAAGTATTTTTTTTTTTCAAAAAATTTATTAACTTCTAATTTTAATTCATTATAGATTTTATCTTCAATATCATTGTCAGAAATATCTACAAACTCTAATTCATTCAACCTATTCAAATTAATATTATTATCATCAATATCAGGTAATTTATTATTTAGTTTTTCATTGTTTAATTCTTCATCCAATTCATCATCAGTTAACTCTTCATCGCTTAATTTCTTATCACCTTTTTTATTTTCTGAATCTGAATACTCAACAAAAAAAAACATTGTCTAAATCTCTTAAAGATTCTAAAATAATTTTATTTGCTTCATTATTGTTAGAACATATTTTATATTCCATAATTTTGTCAGAATAAAAAATTCTGAATTGAGGTATAGTTACCAGCTCAAAACAATAAATAAATAAATAAAATAAAGCAATAATATGTTCATAATGCTGATAATTTCCCAGGTACTCAATTGAACAGGCTTTTTACATGCCAAAATCAGACTAACAATTAGAGTTTTAACACCTACAAACCTTTTAAATCAATTAATTATGATTATCTATTCAATTATCCTGATCAAAATCTGGTTTAATAGAATATTATTCATATTCATAACAGTAACACTGTTTTACAATTTAAATTGCTATTCACAACTATAACTAAATCTTGATTATAACAAGCTAAAATGCCTCCAATATGCACATCTAATTGCTAATCTTAACTATTACCATTACAATAAATATCAAAAGCAGTTACTGCTACTGTAAATAAATCATTTATTATATAATTGAGAAAAACAAATCTACTTCTATAAAAATAAAACTATTAGGCAGGTAATTACTAAAAAATCTCAAAATATGATTGGCTGTCCCGAAGCCACCTTTTGCTAAAGGTCCTCCCATATATAGTTATCATATATTTATTATATTTTTTTATTAAAATATTTTTATTATATTTTTATTATATAATAGTTATATAACTATTATATAATAATAATAAAATGGCAAAAATTCAAGTTTCTGCTAATTTATTTACAAAATTTGATTTCCTTTTTGGTTTGTGTTACTTGCACAATTGGATAGGTGTGTTTATAGTTCTGTAGTTGTTAGACAAAACCTTTTTTGCTTGATGATGAAAGTCGAAATCTAAGCTCTAAATAATGAAACCTTTGTCGAAAGTTAAAACTTTAAATCCTTCTAACAAAAGTCGAAACCCACAAATCCTTCTGACAAAAGTCGAAACCCAAACTTAAAGTAATAAAACCCTAGTGCTCCCGCTAAAAAAAAAAAAAAAGAAAGAAATGAAAAAAAGAAATGAGGATTACTAAAAAAAAAACTATTATTAACAAAACTCTGGTGTTCTAATTAAAAATTGATGAAAATCTATATTTTCGGCAAAGCTAAGCTATTAATATAAATAAACCCTATAAATTTATATATTTAAACAAAAAAACAATAATTTATTATTGAGGCTTTTTTAAAAGCCAATTACAGAAATTATAAATAGATAATAGGCTATTAATATCTCTCAAAATATTTAAACAAATAAATAAATAAATATAGATGTATTTTGATAAATTTAGTAAATTAGGTTAAAAAAATTTTTTACTAGAAAATTATAAGACACGGCAATAAAGTTTAATATTATAATAGTAAAATAACCTTGTCGATGAAATTGTTAGCCTATGAAGTGATTGTTGGTAAAATAATATAGATCTCTCTTTATTAAGTTTCTTATTTAACTAGCAAGTATTATAACAATCAAAGATCTTATTAATTTATTGTCTGTACTAATTTGTCTTTTATTCAAATCAATTTAGCCGATAAATATAACAATTAAAATTGATCTGAGTATAAATTGTATATTTTACTTTTAGCTCTTTATGAACATATATATAATAAAAATTTTTGTAATTTTTATAAATTTCTGTATTGTGATTTATTTTTCATTCATATTATCTTCAATGAGTTCCAACGACATTTATCAGTTTCTTCATATTTTTTTTTTTTTTTTTAATGTTTAAGGTGAGACCATGCTCTTATCTTTATTAGTCTTAATGAAAACTTTTTACA